TTAGTTCATGTAAACTGAACCGTATATACCCATTAATATTTAGAAGACGTGTAGACTGAAATCGGTTTGCATTCGTAGTGATTCATTTATAAACTCATTTCCGCACTGCATTTTTTGCTGCGTGATTTTGCTTTTGGCAGGGCGACTTATATCAGTCAAACAATATGGTTCGGGGATACGAGACTCGTAAGGCTTAGTGAATCTACGTTAGGGTGCCCCCACCATCAAATGACAGATATCATCGACCGACCTGACCACCGCCCGCCGCCGACATCTTAAATGAATCATTAAAAAACAATCTCTGAATCGTTCACAACAAAAAACAACAGCCTCAACAGCAGCAGTTATTTACTATAATAATGTATTGCAGCAAACAGTTAAAAAATATACAGCAAAAAATATAAAACGGATAAAAAACAATAACCACTTGCTTCAAAACCGGTACATGTGAAATCTGACTAGGCAATAACAAGGAAAGATTATAGAAAGAAGATCATCTGGATATCAAATCAGAATCAGCTTTTATTCGTTCTTAACCTTGGCGTTGCTCACGTAAGAACGGTAGAAAAACTCAGAGAACAAGACGAGGAAATTGATGTAGAGGAAGAGCTGCATGCCAGCGATGATCGGATTAGAGTCGCACGGCTCCGAAGTGAAAGTAACACGGTAGAACACATCCACGCTTATGTATGAGCCAACGACGAACTGCATTAACTGCATTGAAGTGATGCAAGGAGCGACCAGCAACGGCAGGCGACACCCAACGGATCTGAGAAAGTAGTAGGAGTACATAAACGAGTGCACTAGGATGTTCATAAAGACGCTCCAACGAATGGATGCCGAGAAGTAGCCGTACGCGTACCATGAGTACAGCAGCACAACGGCGTGATGGTACCAATGCAGGAAAATAACCGGGCGTTTGCGAAGCACCAAGAATACGGTGTCACCCAACTCTAACAACTTCGAAAGGTGGAACAACACGATCCAGTAGCCATGCGTGCCGTCGTAGAGACTTCCGACGAAACAGTAAGATTTCTTGAAGCCGTACCGCTGCAGAGTGAAGTAGAATTCAGGAAATATGCGAATAGTGCCGATGATACTGAAGCCGGCCAAAAACGCATTCCAGACGATCAGCCACTTCTTCAGTTTAAACGCTTCCCTCTTCTGCATAAACGCTTGACCCCAGGTGACGAACAACAGGTAAGCGGCGATCCAGTAAAAGCACTGAGACCAGTGCTTCTCGAGCCATTCGCCAGGCTTCGCCCGCAGCTCCATGGACGAAGTCAACGAGTCAACAACTGAGGCCATTAGCTGGAAAAAAATCTTTAAAAATACTGGCAGAAAATATCAGAGAATAATCAACAGTTGCGGTGTTTGGAAGAATTTAGGCATGGCTGATCAGTCATTCTACAATTTAATTAAACCTCCCATCATCATCTTCAGCAATTGACGTCAAGGCCTACAAATCAACCTATGACGTGATACACAAATAAGCCGGTTTCACGTTCCATCAAAAGCCTTACATCGATGGTAGCATTATCCATGTTTCGATAAGATGTTCTATAGCTATAACAATTTAAAAAAAGCTGATTGTAAACAGCTTCATCGGTACGGCCGCGTGAAAAGTACTTAGAAAATACTGTCCAGGTACTACCACAATCAGGCAAAAAAAGGTAGCGCCATATCAAAAAGAACGAAATTACCATAAGCCGATTCGAAACCGGCACCTGCGGTTCAAAGGGCCAACCTCCATCACGTCCCATAAACAGGACTTAATCTAGTTTTTCCCGTTGCTAACCACGGAATCAGAAGGCGCCCAAGCTTCAGTTCATCCACGGTATGGCATCGGTACGAATTTAAGAAGTTGGCTTAAATATCGTGGTATTATTAATATCAGATTAGATTAATAACAGATTAAGAGCATTACTTTATTTAAGTATATAATATGCATATAGGCCACAAATAATGTGACACCGGCTTATAACACTTGTGCTTTAACAGAATAATAAAATAAAAAATAAAATGTTTCCTAACTGCAAAACTTGCAAGAATCAATTACACGTACAGTGCAAGTACTGTGAAGGAATGCGTTTGACACCTTTTTGTCCGGCGCAATCATGTGAAAGTCAGACTGCTGTCGCGGCCATTAAGCTTGCAAGTCCATTTTTCTACGTACCGCGAGAATTTGAAACTATTAGCATACCAGTAAAATACTGGTCCGTTTAAACTGACGTATGACTGTAAAATGCCGCTTCAATGGTTCTAGGGCAAGAGAAGGATGTTTCAGCCAGAGGATTATGAAGAACAGTCTGTGTCTGCTGTAACTATCAGTTTTGGGCGCGGCTGCTCAGCTTTTTCCATCTCACTGTTTGCCCTGAGGATGGCAAATTCGGCTTGGCCTGAACATCGGCACTTATAATAAAGACTATCATCTGTTTGTTTCCCAACTGTCCGGAACCGTTGAAACAGCATTTTACTGAAGAATTTAAATGAAGCATAACTCTTGCATCACTTCAAGGGAGTCAGTAGGTTGCTTTCCACTATAGAGTTAACGGGGATTTGTTCGGTTACGGTAGCCCAAAATCAAATACGCCCTGAAAATCACCAATCATTAGCACTCTGTCATAATTGAAAAACGAAACTGGAACCGTCGATCCATCGTTAGAGCAGAAATAATAAACATGCCCCGTTCCAGTTACGACAGACTTTGCGTGCGCTGCTACAACGAACAGAGCGAAGTTCGACTTTTTTCAAATCCGTTTTACATACTACTCTTTAAAATAGGAACGTTGGTCAATGTTGGAATGTCGGTTTTCCTTCACTTTGAGCCATTTAGGGGTCCTTCCTTTCATGAAGTTAATGGTGAGGTGCTGATTTCCGTTTCTGTGCCATCAGCCTGGAGTACCTTATGCTTTTTAAGGCACAGTCAACAGCCATGTGGTAAGGGTAGCGTGTATTCATTTTCCTTCCTAAAGAGTGGTACTCATTTATCAACCTCGGAACGAAAAAGGGCGAGTTACGCCGAGAGAACTTG